GACATTTCGGGGCATTATGCGTTAGTCGTGGGAGAAATGGATGGGTAGGTTGCGGTCCGGATCACTTCCACAGGTGAATCTCCCATGGCCTTCTCAGCTTGTGTCCGTACTTAGCAACCACACAACCTGGCAGGCAGGCACTCCTACACAAGCCCAATGTGATTGATGCAATGGGGAAGCGTTTGAATGAGTGACTAAGTATGTGCAAGACACTACCGTTGTCGCTCTGTTTCTCGACTTAAATCTACAATCTCCCCGCGACAGAAACTGTTTGCTGAGTCAGAGGCCATAATGTAGAGAGTGTCTTAACAGGCGGACGGACATCACCTCCGTTACCCTCCCGGACACTAGGCACTGTGGATCAATGCCGGGCTCGGATGGCGAAGTGTCACCCGGGCGCTGCCCCAGTGTTCTAGTGCCGCCGTTTCTTACGAGCTAGAATCGTGGGCATGAAGCTGTCACGGTCTTCTTTGATCTACCGCTATATCGGAACACAAAAGCCCACGCCCCCCTTGGCTGGGACTACGTCCAGGCTACGAGCATGCCTACCGATGCTCGTCATGGGCCATGGCTACCTCAATACCAGTCCAAAACACTAGTTACTGCTAGGTCCCGTGGTTAATGCGATCTTGGACGGCGCCAGCGCTACCCCCAGAGGTCTCCACAGTGGCCCGGACTCGGGGCCTTGGTGTTACTCCCGCCCTTTACACCACGGACATCGCAAGCCCCGTGGTTGGGCCTGAGAAGCACGGTCCAGAACGAACTGTGGTAAGGCAGAGCGAATAGCGGAGGGGATCATCATCACTGTCCAGTGTGTTTCGCCCAGGAGGACTTGAGATGAAATGTAGTGGCTTCCGAAGTTCAAGTGGTTCATCTCAAAGATGTGTTTCTATTATTGAAAACAATCCACGCCAATGAAAGTGTGAGGACTCAAATCGCCGAACTGCGATGGCAATTGTTGATTCTCATATACCTACTTGAGTCGTCTCGATTGGACTTTTGGCGCTGTCTTCAGCTGGCAGTCCTCGACGCCTCACTCCCCACCGCGATCGATCTTGAACTCAATTCGCCATAGTTTGGCAATATTCTAGCCCAAATGCCTTAGCGCGCATTGTCGACGAAAGAAATACCATCAGCTCAATGACACATGGCAAGCCACAAATGCCCGCCGTCCTGGCTAGACTTCGATTTGGTCCATCGAAGAAGGTTGGATGAACGCACAAACGATCCCGTCAAGAATGGATCAATTGAGATGCACGCGAGGATTGACATGTCAAGCCAAATTTCAGATAGTCAATTGTTATTCTGGATACTCATGGGAAAGGTATCTATGCTTCATAAGTCATTTCATGTAGCCACCAGACCTAAAAATTACATTAAGAATAAAGAAATAGAATCATTGCCAAAAACAACTGTCGTTCAGGGAATCCCCCGGCGACGAAAGTATAGCGAGTTGTGAAGAGTCGAAACGATCAAGGCCCGGTCGGAGCTCAGCCCCTCACCATCATCCCCTCTCTTCTTCCACCCGCGCCCATCTGTACAACAAGGTTTTCGATATGTACGAACTTTCCAGCTCTTTTCGGGATATGTGATGATGATGGTGGCGGTACCGTGTGTGCTGTGCATGTGTGCAAAGATGAAGTGAACCAATCCCCGAATTCCTTCGCTTCCTATCCAGGTCGCCTCAATTGTGTGTCCTTTTCCCAAAAGAGTGTAGATGCTATGTAGATATGATGATGCGATATCAACTTTTTCTCCGATTTCCCTCCAATCATGGTCCTTCCCATATTCTTCTCGCTTTCCCATTCGTCTGACTTGGACGAGTCTAATGTTCCCATATTTTTCAGCCTCAAGCAAGGTAAAAACGCCACATGAATGATTCAACAGTAAGAAATGTGTGTGAAGAGAGAGAAAAAAAAACAAGCAAAAAGTAGTCAGCTGAGAAACGCCCGATTCGGTCTTGGTGTGTGGGATGCCGCGACGCCAGGACAATAGTGACTCCCTTAGTGCCAGCGCGCATCATCCAGCAATGTGGATTGTTTTGCGCGAGGCTCTTAAAGAGTGCCACGACCGCCCTCAGCGTCCATCTTCTCGTCGTCACCGCCCTTGATGACCTCGCGGGTCTTGCCCCATTTGAAATCGTCCGAGTAGACGAGGGAGTACCCCAAGATGATCATGTTGAGGAAGGGCGACGTGCACAGGTGGAAGAAGTAGCCGACAAAGTATTGCATGCGCTCGAGCATGTTTCTCGGTAGCCAGAAACCGATACAGAAGGAGTAGATCTGTGTAACCACGAAGTCAGAATTTTGTCTCAAGTTTCGTCGGTCGGACAGGGTAAGCGAAAGAACTTTGGAGGGAGGAGACTTACGTATCGGAACAAGAGCAGGGCGAACAGCGACATGAAGACCGGATCCCTCACCAACTCATCACCACGACGGCAGAGAATGATGATCAAAGCGATGACGGCGGCCATGATGAAGGGTGTGATAAACCATGTCATGACGGCAATGATGGATTGAAGACGCTCGATGGGGATGATGCCGGGGCGGAAGATCATGACGAACTCGTTGGAGATTGAACCGAGAGCCCAACGCTTGCGCTGGGACAGGAAGACCTTCCAGTCTTGCGGCACAATGGTGAAGGCCTTGGCGCGTAGGGCCTGGGCGGTCTGGCGCTGGGGGAAGAGCGAGAAGATGATGCTGGCGTGAATCGAGTCCTCTGAGTAGTTGCCCATGATGTGCTGCGTCATGAGATCGTTGGGCTTGGGGCAGTATCCGAACCGCTGGCGGAGGACCTCGTCGCCAAAAGTGGCCTCGTCAATCTTGATCAGCTGACAGCAACCGGGGAGGCAGTTGACCTTTCCGGTGATGCGGGATTGGAACATGCGACGGAGACCTTGGGTTTGGGAGTACTCGACCGACTGGTACAGCGACCAGAGACCCCAGTTCTTGCCGTCATAGTCGACACAGACGTGGCCACAGACACCAACGAGCTTGGGGTTCTTGCGGATTTCTCTCAACATTTCCCAGATACAGAACTCATCGAACACAGTATCGGCGTCCATACCAACGAGGTATTCGACATTTTCGAGGCCCTGGGAGACGAACGCGTTGCCCAGATGCTCAAACAGCTCGTTGCTGAACATGGTCATGATGTTGGTGGAGCGCTTGTGGAAATGGTACAAGAACGAACGGGCAAAGCACAAGCTGTCACGCTTGCCTTGGTTGTAACGCTTGCCGACAAAGACATACGGAATGCCCTTGTAGTAACCAGTTTGGATCTTGGTCGGCATGAAAAGACCGTCTCGAGCGCGGTACCCGTTCTCGAAGAAGCGCGTTGGGCCGGGCTCCAAGATGTCCTCGAGAAGGTACTCCTGCGTGGTCTTCTCCATACCAGCGCCCTTGACGTTGCCGTCGACCACGATGAAGATCATGCGCGGGTGGTCGTCAATGTTCTTCTGCGCAACCAAAGAGTCCAGAGATCGAGTAAGCTCCTGAAACGTCTCGTTGTAGCATGGCAGAAGCATGACCATTCTCTCAGGGGTCTCTGGCACCTTCTCTTTGCGGCGGAAGCAGAAGAAGATACCCTTGAAGATGAAGTGGCCCAGAATAAAGACGATCATTATGAATTGGAGGACGGTGTTGGAGCTGAGAAGCACCATGAAGAAGTAGTGGGCGACGTGGTACGTGAATGACACGTAGATGAGGGCAGCATTGATACACAGCAAGCCGATGAGCAGACACCATTTCTGGAACCGCAAGAGCGACTTGGACACAAGCTTCAGCTCCGAGTCAGAGTCCCATCTCAGCTTCGCCTCTTCAGTCTGGACGGAAGATACGAAGGAGGCAGCAGACTCGCCGCCACGAGATTGCCATGAGCGGTGACCGAAGGAGCCGGGTGTACGGACGCCGAAGGGGAGGTCTTCTGTGGTGAAGCCAACGACAGACTAGCCAGTCAGTATTATGGCACTCTTTCAGAAAGGAGGTGTGTCTCGACTTACAGAGCCCTGTGACTGGATTCGAGATCCAAATGGTCTCGGAATAGAGAGGCTTCGCTGGCTACGAGCCGGTGTTGTAGCTCCTGAGAGAGGAGACAGGGGAGGGCGGCTGCTCTCCGCCATGGGAGGAGGTGGCGGTGCGGGACGGTGAGCCATGGTGGCTGGCTTGAGATTGTGTAAATTGGAAGTGAAGCTTGAAAGACTCCAACCAAAGACCTCGACAACGACAAGAGAAGGAGGATCAAGCGCACACAATGAGGAGCGAGAGACTGGATGTTTGAAGGGGCGGAGGGTCAGGGATCTAATCAAGATCCTGGGAGGGAGTCGGGCCAACAACAAAACGAATGTGATGACTGCCGGAGGCAACAGAGCAAAGTTTCCTACCGATGAGGAGGAAAGAGAGTGAAAAGTGAGAAGTGGAGGATGAATCTTTATTCCTGCGAAAGAAGACGGTCAAAAGAGAAAAAGAGGGCCGGCATGGGGTAAAAGAGGGTAACATCAGCACGCCGGACCTGGACTCGACATTCGGGGCTAGCCTCACGAGGCGGTTGATCCGACCAGCTGTCTGGGTCGGAATCAAAGGTCTCTTCTCAGGCTCGAATAGAGTGGCGGCAGCTTGGCTGGGGTAAGGCATGGGCCGCCATGCTGCCCATCAACTGACTGGACTTGCTTTCTGGCGGGAACGACGTGCGATCATGTCTCGCAAATACGGACTATTGACTGGTTGCAGTTCCTAGGCTTGGCCGAACGATATCCATACACACATCTGGCATGGCGACAGCAACATGACTTCTAGCGTCAGCTGAGCAAGCAAAAGAACACTGTACTCGGACCAGATTCGAAGATTTCCCACCCGACCGGCCACGGGAGTACATCAAACGCCATCTGGTGTCATCACGAAGAAAAATGTTGCAAGGGGAGGCAAGGCAGCAAGGGGAACAAGCCAGTCCCGTTGCTGCCAAACGTGTGTGTGGTTGGTGGTGGAGATGAGACAACCAGGCCCATGTTCTTGAAAAAGGTTCAGCAGCACACGTCGGCGGCTGCAGGTCAACGGACCGTGGACGAGCAGACAGCGGTATGCCTAGTCGACGGTCGTTCACACGCCCCCGAGTTGACGCCGGCCACTTGACATAGGGCTTTGCCAGCTCTTCTGTGACTGTGTATTGCTGGTGCTGCCGCTAATCTCTTGCTGTTCAGCAGGTACGCCTGAACCCGAGAACGCCATGATCGACAGAATACGGATTGGGATGCAAAGAAGAAGACCAGCGATATGCATCGGTCGATGTGTTGTGTGTACCAATTCACCCCAAGCAGAGAATCCCAACACCCAAAAGGGCATCGGCTTCGTCCGAGGCGAAGAAAGCTGTGGCGTTCAACGACAACATGTGGCATGGCGTGGAAATGGCAGAAATCAGCAACATCCACCTTCGGAACAAAAAGAAAAACAGCCCGCAAGCACACACCAAAAGAGAGAGAGCCGCTCAAGAGATGGCGCAGCGCGCAGCGAAAGACGCATGGTCAGTGCTACACCCTAAGGCGGGAGCCGCTCGTTAAGCAAGACATGGGCAACGGCGACGTTGACCGGGGTTGGTAGTCGATGGTGGTGATCGGTCCTCAACTTAGCGCGGTGATGCTCCGCTGACCCCTGTCCAATATACACGTCAGTTTCAACTTCAGGACACCGCTGCTTGAGAGTGCGAGTTGCAACGTGCAGCTACGAGAGATATTTTGAGCTCGGGCTCAGGGCGAATGAATCTCTTCCGGTAGTGTTCGCGGCTGATCTTCGCTTCTGAGTAACCACTAGCACGGAGAGGCGAAAGGAGGGGGAGGAGAGCATGAGAGAAGAGCCGCAGATGCAGAACGCTGGCTGGGTTGGGCTGGACTTTGCTCGGCTCCCTGGGAAGGGCCAGCATCGTCTCCATTCAGACGACATCCTGGTACCTGTCGCACTCTTTCCCTTTGCAGAGACGACCTGTAAGAAAGGATTTGAAGAGGCGAGAAAGCTGGGTCAACAACATCTCATGGTTGCTGGCTGCTGCAGCAGTGAGCTGTAAATCGAATCAAGTCAGATCAACCCCGGCGTGCCAAGCCCGTGTTTATGGATTCGCGGGCTGCACGAGTGGGCAGGAAAGTTGTACAGTGCCTGTCCTTGCATATGGATGCCTCCACACACAAGTAAGCTTGAATTCTGGGCATCAAGTGAAGGACGCCGAACAGGGCTGCCGCGTTCAGTCAGGCACACAATCGTGAGTTTGCGTGAGCGTGTGAGCTAAAGTCTCATTTCCTCCATACGCGGACGCTGGCCGACAACTCCTAGTGGACGAACTGGGCATGCACCCACAGGACGCAGAGGAGCAAAGCAGCCTAATGTCTATAGGATCGAGCCAATGCTGCGCCTGTGGTTCCCTACGTCTGTCAGGAACTTCGGATGACTGGAAAGACGGGACGAATGGCTGATGTTTGACTCAGCTCGACAACCTTGGCTCAACCCCCAAGCCTGCCTGCCATCTGCAATATCTGGGTCATTAACGGTTTGTCTGAGAGTCGCACGGGCACAACCGGCCCAGCTTAGAGAAGAGAAGAAAGAAAAAATCAGGATTGAGTTCGAAGCAGACGAGGGTCAAACACGGCCAAGAGGACCCTTCTTTTCGTTCCTGTCCCTTTCTGTCCATCTTCGTATCTGTTTTGGGAATGAGCAGCTGAGAAACGCTTGCTTCTTTGTTTTGTTAGAGACCCTGGGTAATAGAATCAGGACACTCGCTTTCGAGAAGTCTGCTGCCAGCCGGCTGGGCATAGGTTTGACGGTACGAAAAGAGGCACCAAAAACCTCATGGGATTTGCGTGGTGCGTGCGTACGTGCGTGTGCGTGTAGTGGTGGCCAGGCAGTATGGCAAATCTGGCGGCGAGCCAGCGGCACAAGAAGAAAGCGTGGCGTTGATGCAACATCACACCATCGTATGGGTGCGCCTATAGTCCGTGGTTGAGGTTGCGAATGGCCGGTACGTGATTCCCAGCCCCAGCTCATCCATGATCCATCAGCCCCCTCCCCAATATGACTGGACGGATGGGGTTGAGGCGGATCGTGGGAGTGTGGGAGATGGAAAGCGGGGCGCCTAGCGATGCGGAAGCGGCTTGCATGTCGTTACAATGCGGAATTCTATTCAGGTGGTGGGTGAGGGGAGGGACCTATTGTGAAGGGAGACGGGGAGGCGGGAGGGGTGGGTGTGAATGTGTGTGGTTGTCGTCGTCTTTCGTGAAGGTTGTGAGAGGGTGAGGTTGACCGAGGTGGAAATGGAACGCAGGGGACGGGAACGGGGAAAGATGCACACGCCCCCTCCATTAACCGGAGTAATTACCGGCGGATGGAATATTCCATTATGCATATATCCGTTTACCCCGATATTGCGTGGTCGGTGCCCCGGAAGGTTTGAGTGGGTCCATCAGCGGCGGAAGCGGCCCCACTTAAGCCCCCCGGTGAGAGTTGAGCGCGGCGCTAGAAGCGCGGGACCCCAGGACCTGCAGTAGCCTCTTCCTTGTTTTCCAAGGTTACGCGCTCTTGGCACCTCGGGGAACTAGGGTGAAATTGCTAAAATCTGACCAGGGGAGAAATGTGCGGGAGAAATATGGGGAAGTTGGTAAGTTGTTTCTGAGGTAAAATAAGGTGAGAAACAGCGCTAGAGGCCGGCAGGGCAGGACGAAGAGAACAGGCTTAACACACGCACACACAGACACACACTAGACACATCAACCAGGGCGGTGGTCAATGGGGGCACGAATGACATTGCAAAGGATAGACCTGATCCTCACACCAGAACTAACCCAAGCCCTTACAACGACACGAGGCAACACAAATGGCACACATGGCTTTCGTGTATGCACCCATACATCACCCATACGGGACCTGGCGGCCATCCCCCTTCTCCTTGGCTTTTCTACGAATGCAATCAAAAGTTTGCCTCAGTACTGCCCGACCTTGGATATCACTGGGTAAACACACGCTGCAGCATGGCACTATCGATTTCCCCCACGAAATGCTACGGTACCGTCTCCCCCCTCTCCTCCACGTAGTCTTTCGCCCCCGACCACCCCTCCTCGTCGCCTCCATCAAATTCGAGGCCGGTTTAACTCCGGCCACGCATCTTCATCCTATAACCACTTCATTCAAACATCGAATGACAGATCCACGCAGATCAGGCTGTTTTCTAGGCGACCCGAACACCAAAAGCAGTGAAATATAGCGGAGCTGAGATGAAGGACTCGCTTAGACTTGTCGATCCGTCAGGCTGGGCGATGAAGCATACTCTGAAGTAATGATTAGGCCTCACTACGTGCTCTGTCAGTGTGGCTAGTGGGGGCTGAAAGACACACTCGTCAGCCATCGAGTAGGTCGATGCGCTCAAACTGCTTCGATTCAACATATTTCTGATGGACGGGTAAATAATCAAGCCGTAGGCTGACACTGTATTCCCTCCCCTCGCAATCCACGCTCCGCACCAAGTCTCTTCCTGTCCCATTCAAGCAATCACATCGTCAACAAGTGTGCTAAGCTCAATGGCACCTAGAACAGGTAAAGTTCAAGTTATTTGCTTACCTGCATCTTTTTTGCCTTCATCTCTTCTCCCCACGTAAGCTCGGGTAAAGTCTTGGAAGTTATTGCTCCCCTTGGCAGCTCGGAGACAGGTGCCGCGCGGGTGAGCTAAGGGGGTAGGAGAACTAACTGACATCTAATCAGGTTCTCGCTTCAGCTCCCTAGTTTACATTACCCTTGAAGAGCCGGTCCCACCACATGGTATTCCCGAACCCATCGCCCGAGGGCTCGGCCAAGCTCGTCATACGTCGTAGTGCAGCAAACAATTTTTGGAGCTGCTTTGGCGAAAGGTGTTTTCTCCGGTATTCGGGACATGTTTCCCCGTTTCTTGCTGCCAGGTGTCCAAGTAAAGTATCGCAATGTCTAATAGTTTCAGCTGACTTGACCACGATAATTGCGTGCGTTTCTTCGATGTTACATATGGAATGGTGTGTCGTTCGGAGGCTCCTCGTATATGGAAGGTGAACACAAAGAAAACCGTTGTAATCGCGCTCCAAGACATGCATCGTCCGGAGAAACAATTCAAATTGCAAAAAACAAGCACGACACTGGCCGTTGAGATGTCGCAAACGCACGATGTAGGTCGAGACATGCCCTCTCGCCTGCTCGATTAGGTGTTATCATTAAAACTATTTGCCTCCTCCAAATGTTCCAAGCCCTCTCTGCGTCCACATGCCAATGCGCTCTAACTGTATTCCAACGCTTCTGCTGCAATGCAAATGATTCAAATCCCTCCCCAGCTGTATCCCAGCTTCTCGGCCGTAGAGATCGTAAAGGTAGGTGGTAGCTGGTAGCCAGGTAGCAGTGCGTCCGCGCCGACAGCCTTGGCGTCTCTCGATAGACTGCGCGACGGTCGTTTCTACCGGTTCCATAGCCCGACCGACCGAAAAAAACAATAATATGTGAATCAAGGTTTGCAAAGTTTGCCCCTCATGTTCGTTGTCATCTTCTGCGCGATATATTGCAGAAAAATGATCTGTACGGGGACTCCCCCGGGCTGGAGGGGGAGGTCCCCGATGATCGACCATGCTGTGCGAGTATGGCGACCAGCCTCAAGCTTAGATGCAGGCTGGCAATATATGCTGCACTAAACAACACAGCCCGATCAATTGCATGTTCCGAAAAGCGACTGGCAGCCTGTTCCGCAGTGCGTCGCAGAGTTGCCACTGTAATATTCTCATCAGCATGCCGAATTATTGCGACTAATTGTTGCGGATGGACCAGGCCCGAAGGCCAGGGTCAACAGGGAGGAAGAGAGAAAGTGTAAAAAAGCATACCAGTAACCATACTGAGAACAGCAAGTTTTCGTGCCGTAGTTCTTGCAAGTGGCATTCCATTGGCTTCCGCAGAGACCATTGGAAGATTCGGCCACAGCCGATGACTGGGGGGAGCAAGATCCAAAGCCTGATTGGCAGCCTGTTCCGCAGTATGTAAGGCTTGAGCCGCTGTGTTAAGGGGAGCATGTCAGCCGTATCATTCATGGCGTCAAAGGCGTCCAGAGGCTTACCAGAATCCATAGTAGGAGCAGCAGTTGCCAAACGCTGAGTTGAGGCACGTGTAACCCGTGGTACCACCACAGGTCTGGTCCGGTGATACGTTGGTCGAAGCAGGGACGCTTGACGACGATGTGCGAGTTGCGACGCTGGTTGATGTTGTGCTAGACGTAGCTCTGGTCTGCAGCGATGATACAGGCGTCGAGACCGCGGAAGTGGGCACCGAGGTTGTTGTCGTCGTCCTCGTCGTGCCGACTGCGACGCCGGAGCTAATGGCGCCACCCGCTGACCGGTACCAGTTTTCTCTGGGGTCATTGAGACACTCTCCTACGGTCACAAGGCGATAACCACGCGCCTTGGCAGTATCAATCATGAACTGGGTCAAGTTGACCACGGTCTGATAGTGCACATCATGGGACAGCTCGATGTACTTGTTTGCTGCCGCATTTGTTGAGACACCATTGGAGAAGCGGTCCTTGGCGGTCTGGATCTCTTCAGGCGAATCATACATGTAGTCCTTGGTGTCGATATTAACGTTGATGATGTGGTAGCCGAGCGTCTTGAGCAGGTTCTGACATCCTGACCCGGCGTCACATTCAAGGAATGGCGGGCGTATGTAAGTGGGAATCCAGCCGAATAGGTTTCGGAATGCCATTTCGTTGTAGATGATCTCAGTTCTCTGGATGGTGCTATTGACCTCGTTCAGGTTGCGGTGGGTCCATGTATGGCTTGCAATATGGTGGCCGGCGGCGTACATTCTTTGCATTACGGCCGGCCAAGGCGTATCGGGGTTGTCCATCCGGTTCTTGCCAATGTTGTTGCCGGCGACAAAGAAGGTGGCGGTGATGTTCTGGGCCTCCAGGATGTCGAGCAGGTTGGAGGTGTAGATGTAAGGGCCATCATCATAGGTCAATGCCAAGGTTCCTGGGTTGGCGCAAGTGGTGATGATTGAGCCTAGACGGATATGCAAGTT